CATATTGTCTGATAAGCTTAATAACATTATCATTAAATGAAGAAAGAAAATCACAATATTGATACATATTTTTTAATCATATCTAAGCTTTCGGCTTATATAAGCCATTATCAAAGATGACAATTACATTACAATATATTAAGCAATACACGGACAAGAATGTGATGATAGTCTGTTTCTGTTTACATGGGAGATTTCCAAGCAACGACAAACTTGTGCATATAAAATGCTGAAAGTGAAAATTCTTGAAGCTATATACATAAAACAGTTGAAACCTAACCTGAACAAAATAAACTATGAAATCTCCACAAATATTCTTAAATGCCTATAATTAAAGTTTATGGAAGCCATTGGTTTATAAAACAGCTTCTCATATAATAATACTTCAAAAATTTAAAAATTCGCATGGTCATGTGTGACGTAAATAAATAATACCCTTGATGAGTGAATGAAGTGATTCCTGGAGTATATCTACAAAACTCTGGAGTTGGGATGCTTTAAGGTAAAATCAATCAGCTAATGACAAACCTTTTACTGTATTTAACATTTAATTTTAAAGTGGGCTCAACAACAAAAAGTATATACACAATACACACATATAACACACAAACATATATATATATATATATATATATATATATATATATATATATATATATATAAAAAAATATGAAAAAAAAAAAACAAAAATCCTAATATGCAATTTTTAATGTTTTAATGTTTAAGCATCAGACGTTTTGGTCTAATAGACCATCTTCAGGACATATTCATAAAACATAATTAACATAGACCATATACAATTCAACATGAAAAAGACGATGGACATAAAAGCAATACCAAAAAAAACAGATAAAAGAAATCTTTTATAAGATCAGTGTTCCATTTAAATATGATCATCGTACGTCAAAATGTTTTCATGTTTAAAAAACGCTGATCTTATAAAAGATTTTGTTATCTATTTGGATTGTTATTGCTTTTATGTTCATCGTTTTTTTCATGTTGAATTTTATATGGTCTATGTTAATTATGTTTTATGAATATATCCTGAAGATGGTCTATTAGACCGAAACGTCCGACGTTGACATTAAACATTAAAACAGCATAATCGCATATTAGGATTTTTGTTTTTTTTTTCAGTACATTTTCTTCATACTGTCGGATCTATATCCATATATTTATAACATATATATATATATATATATATATATATATATATATATATATATATATATAAGGCTCATACATTAATATTCCATGGTTATAATTTATTACATTGGAATCATAATCATGATTCAATTCATCAGACCTACAAATTCAAAAAGAAAACAGAAAATATATCTCTGGGTATAAAAAACAAAATTTCAGTGAGAGTGTATGTGTGGGAGTGAGAAACAAGGATGAAACAAGAGAACTATTAGTTAATAGCCTTAATTTCACAAAAAGATATACTAAAAATTAGTTATTCATGTGTAAGTAATGTGGAGAAAATTATATCTTCCCACAATTGTAAAATACTTAGGAACTTTTATAATAGTGAAACTTTAGCTAATAATCTCACCTGTAATAGTAGTAGTAAAGCTGAATGTCTAATCCTGGGGAAAATGTATGTATGAGAATGTAATATATGAAGCTACAATCCTCCCCAAAGAAAATATTAGCTTGAAAAAAAGATACATAGGTATATCCACTGGTAAATGGAAGCAGTGTCTGTACAACTGCAGACACTCTTTTAAATATGAATGAAATTTTTAATAAAAATCTCTAATTTTTTCATGTTATTATCATCTGTATTTTTATTTTACTACTGAAAATCTGACCACTAATTACTTCTGGTATACTAGTCAAATCTAAATTAACTGTCTCTTGGCTTATCTATAGTTTGAAGCAATGAGTTTCAGGAAGCTTTTGAGCACCTTCTGCCACAAGTAAACTAGTGCAGCATGATATTAAAACAATAACTGAAACTGATAAATGATAAAACACAAATCAGTCCAAAGACCAGTGAGATTCCTTTGGAACTATATCCTTTATATATATATATATATATATATATATATATATATATATAATTAATGCAAGTAAAAGGTTTGCCACTTAGCTGATTGATGCTACCTTCATAGATGGAACCGCCAGGAATCACTCCATCCACTCATAAGTGGGTATGAGCAATATACATATCAATTTTTCTTTTTCATATGCATTTTCATTGGTACAAGTTTTTTTCATAGTGTATGTGTGTGTGCATGCATTCGCTTGTGCCCATCTGTGCATACATGTTGAATGTCATTAATATTTGTCCTTTTTTGTCATTTTTTCATTTTACTCTCACCCTTTAACCTTTTCATCTTTTCTTTAAATTGTTGCCATTTTGACTTCCAGTTTTCTAGATATATACTGTTGTTCAAGAATCAATGGATTTGTTATCTGTTTAGAGTAGTAAGAAATATATATGTATGCGTGTGCATGTATATGGTAACAGTAATGGTAATATTAGCCAATTCCTTATAAGGAAACATTCAGCATTCATTGATCAAGCAACCAGTAAAGCTTGAAATTTGTAAAATTTTTCTCTTATACAATTTTTCAGGAAAATAGGTTTCTCAAGTCCAGTAGCTGTTATCACTCATTCCAGTATTGATGCAGGTTTTCTTCCTTGCCTTTTGCATGAAATTATGTGGAATGTCAGCATCTTGATTATGTTATTCTTTTCTACTCAAGTTACATATGCTATCCATTTTAGTTGTTCCTGCTGTTGGTAGTCCTCAAGTGATGTAATTTCTTTTAAATTACTAATACAAAAAAATACTAAATGCATCTCACATGGCACAGCAAAGAAAACAATACAAAAATACATTAATAATCCTTATTAACATTTCCTCAGAAAAATGGCTAAAGTGTTATGTGAAAGGACTCAGGAAAACTAACACTATGATCAGTTTCTCCACACAGTCCTTAAAATTGTAAGAACACAAGAAACATTAAATAAAAAAACTCACAAGATATTACTTGTATGTCATAGTTTACAAACATACATAAAGAAAGCTTCTAAGAAAGTCACTTCACTGTGTTGTGTGAGATAATTTTTCTCTCCAGAACACATATCTATAAGTCTACTATTCATCCATGCTTAGACTATTGCTGCCACATATGACTCGGTGCCACTACTATTTACCTTGAGTTCCTAGATAAAATCCAAAGAAGAATCAGCAATATTATTGGTCTTGATCAGGCAGCTTGGCTTCAGTCATTCAGTCACCACCATAAGGTTGCCTTTTCTATAACTCCTTTCATATAATTGTTTGGATGAGCTCTTTGCTATGGTACCTAGAATTTCTGAACATAAGCACAGTACTAGACTGGTGTCTAGAACTCATCAATTTACAGTTGAACTGGATAGATGTATCTGTAAATTCTATTCTAACAGTCCCTTTTCTCACACTTCTTGTATGTGGAACTCCCTTCTGGTTCCATGATTTCCAGCCAATTATAATCTGTAAAAATTTAAATGAAATGTCAATTGCTATCTGCTGTTCTCCTGATTACTCTTTTCTCTTCCTGCTCATTATAAATGTTTCTGTTCCTAATTCTTCCACACCACTTGTGTCTTAGTAGGCTTAACTGCCTTGCATGGGGTGAAACCAATTAAAAGAAATACTATATATATATATATATATATATATATATATATATATATGAGAAAAATAACGTATGCTATATTCATGGGTAAAAGTACTCAGCATCATAGATAGAGCATATATAAAAGTAGACACCGAAGTCAACATTGAGTGGTGACAGTCTGTTTAATGTTTTTATGCAATCTTTATGTTTACATGTGTTTATATATGCCTAAAAATGGTGACTAATAATTCTACCCCTGATCTTTGTCACAAGCCTTTTACTATACTTGATTATTGCAGTGAATGTGAAATTATTCACCCTTTTATTCAAACTTTAATACTTGTAACCAAGAGGCCTATTCCTTATTCTAAACCTTATCCTCTGAACTTTTAATTGTATTAGTGAACATTTCATCTTATTTTTTTTTTGAGCATCAGTCAAAGAGATTTGGTAAAGTGTTTAGGTCTTCTGTTAAAGAATGCAACATAGATGAAAAAATTGTTACATTTGAACATCGTTGGAGTGGAAAGGCTTCAAATAATTCAAATCACTGGATCAGATTATGAAACTAATGCAGGTGAATAAAGTAAAACTAATCCTTTTGCTGGAAAATAGAATAGATACAAATTAATTAAGGGACATAGGTGATCATGGCTTTCCACAGATTCAGTGGTTTTCTTCTTCTATGTGCCATGTCCCTTCAGGACATTGGTGATCATAGCTCTCCACAATTTCCTGTTCTTTGTAGCTCTTATTAAATTTTGTCTTTTTATTATCTCTCCTCTCTCCCAACCATTTACAAAATCTCACTAGGTAGGTTATGCATTGTTTTCCTCTGTCCTTCTACAGAGATCAAAAGGGAAGTTTCCTTCCTTTTTCATGGGTGGGACAGTGACCTTATGACCACACCTAGTCATGGAAGTGATGATGTTGATAATTATAAATCTTGACCCTGATGAAAAATAACTATTTCAAGTGGCCAAATAAAATTTTACTAATTTTTTTTATTTTTCTTATGATGATGCATTTTGTAATGATCTGGCTGGTAGAGATTTTCAAAAGAAAATTTGGTGAGCTTCTCTTTACAGACTACAAATATGACAAACTTTGTTGAAAATTTTCAAGTTAGTTTTCAATTTAAAATGTCCACCATGAACATGCAAACAGTAAGACACGAAGAATAAAAGAAATGTCTTTTCCTTTTGGAAATTTAATCAACAATTCTGTGATTTAGAGATTTTGGTCCTGGCCAGTTGATTGTTTTTGTTTGTGCTCTTGCTGACCCCACACATCGTTGGCTCTGACAAGGACTGCAACTAACAACTCTCTTTTCAAATAGTGGAACAGGACATTGAACAAGTGGTTCTTCTACAACTTCAGACCTGCCTGTATCCTGGAGTGGAGTCTTTGGTTTATTGCTTGGATCCATCTCAACCTGAGTTTCAGCATCAGATATTGGTGGTACCGGTTCTGATTTTTTAAAATCAGCTCCTTGTTTTGAACTAGTCTTCTTTCGGATAGATTCTCTTGAAGATGTTCCGACTGATCTCATGCAAACATTAGTGTCCTGTAGGCCCAAAGGTGTTGGAACTGTGACTTTATTGAGTGAAGGGGATTCATTGCCTTTTATTTCACTGAGTGGAGTCATTGGAGTTTGTGGTTTGCTATCAGGAACTGCTTTGGTAAGCACTTCTGCATTGTTGGTAGAACTGGAACACTTCTGTTCTTCAGTCTTTTTTGTTGATTGATTGCTTGAATCCTGCCAAAAAGTTTAAAGAAAATATTTCAGAATGAAGTGAATTAATTCAAAGTATATTTTACTTGATTCCTTTAAAAGGAAATTTGCAAATTTAAATGAATCCTATTGTGATAAGTCTTACTTTATATATTTCACTCTAAGCTGAAAATTTTTAATAACAAAACGAGTCTAATGCTTTGATAAGTGTGCTTAGAACTGATAAAATGTCCTTAGGGAAAAATATTTTTTAAGCAAATATGAAAATCACATTGACAAAAATGAGATAATGAACACATTTCAAAACAATACAGATTTTATCTTTCTATAAATTCATATTGAATCTATTTTCAATTTTGTTGTTTCTTGCAAAACAAATAATAATTGGCAAACCTCAAAACAATGCAGTTTCAGCTTTTTTCCATTTTTTTTATATTCTATACCTGCAGTCAAAAGACAGGAAGTAATCATAAGAAAAAATAAACTGACTTATTTTTCACAACTTTGATCATTTTTTTGAGTTTTCCTTGAGGATTATTTGAAATGTTCCTTTTTTTTAGAGTTATTTTCTAAAAGTTAAAGTGGCATTTCTCCAGGCTGCATTGGCATTCAGTTTAAAAATTTATCTGGTTTTATTGAAAGTTGTTTCTGAACTTTTAGGTGAAAGTTGTTTCCGAATTTTAATTAAAATACTGCCTGTTTATATTGTTAGCAGTGCTGCTACGAGTAATTTATATTTTTTTTTATTTCAGATTATAAGAATATTATTCATAATATAAATTAGAACATACCCTTAGGTTCATCCCAACTAAAGAACACAAATAGAAATGTTGTACTCTATAAGTGTTATAATGGTGTCAATGCAAGTGCATCAGCAAAATCCATCAAGCATGCTTATGGAGTTGATGCATTGAGTGAAAGGAGTTGTAAGAGTTTCCATTTCAAAACTAAGAGTTTTAGTCTAGAGGATGAGCCAAGAGAGAATCATCCAAAAGGACTCGATCAGGAGGATTTGGAAAATACTAAAATTGAATGTAAGGCATATAACAGACCTGAATTTGAATTGGAAAAGATTGAAAATGGTTGAAAAATATGTTCCATATAACCTGTCTCCAGAGAATTGATTGCTGCAAGTTATTACTTACACATTAATTTCTAGGGCCCTGTTTGGACATGTTTGTTACTTGTCATGAGAAATGGATCCTTTGCCATAAAGGTTAAGCACTGTTTCAGTGGATCAGTTGAGGAAACAGACCTGCTTAGAAACCGAGAGAAGAACTTCATCCAAAGAAGATCATGTTGAATATACGGCAGGATATTCAAGGAATCATCCATTATGAACTGTTAAACAATGATAAAACATTCAACATTGATCTCTACTGCCAACATCATTATTATCATTTTTAAACTGTTTTGAACAGAAAACATCCAACTTTAGTCAACCGAAAGGGGCAATCCTCCATCAAGAGAATGCCTGCCCTCAAAGTGCATGATTGACAAAATATCTCTTAGAGGAGCTCATTTGGAAAAAATTGCTTCATCCTCTATATTCTTCCAATCTTGCTTGTTCTGATTATCAATTGCTTAGAGAATTCTAGAACCATTTGAATAGCCTAAGGTTGACACAAAGTAAAGAAGTTGAACATGAGTTGGTCTTGTATTTTACATCAAAATCTAAAAAATTTTCAAACTTGGCATCTATAAATTTGTTGAGAGATGAACCAAGATTCTAGGAAGCAATGGAGGTTATATTAATGATTAAATATTTCTATAAGCATTAGTATCTTCATTATACACCTACACTATAAAATCGGAGAGAACTTTCATTTCAATCTAATATTTTCTAGGTTGATAAAGTTTATAATGAAAGGACCATCTAAAAAGTTATGTTAAACAATAGAATAGGTAGATTTACAGTAGCAAATGCTACACCATAATACAAACCTACCTAAATCTTAATAGTAGCAAATGATGAATTATTGCAAATCTAACATTATACACTGCCACCTAATACAATAGAACAGGGTGCCCCTAAGGTCTGGGCACATAGGAAATCTCATTAAGTATATTTTTTTACCTCAACAGATTAAATATGGTTTTGTCAAAAGAAAAAAGAATTGATTTCTTTTTCTGAGGTATGCTAAAGGAGAAGGTGTATTCAATGAAAATCACAGATGCAAACACTGGATTGAATGCATAAAGAGTGAATGTGCTAAAATTGTCGACAATGTGGAGTTATTGCATCAAGTTCACGTGAATCTTTCAAAGCACATCAACCCTTGCATCACAAATGATGGAAATCATATTGAAGATATTTGTTAATATTGCAATCCAATAAAATGCTTTTGAAAATTTCATTTCTTGAAAATATGCATTTTTGCCCAGGGTGTCCAGACTTTAAGGACACACCCTGTAAAATGACCAGATTTACAAAAGCAAATGATACAAACAAATACATTTGTAAGTCAGTCTTGATAACGCCAAATTATGAATTGTGTGAATATTTTGTCTTACCTCTGCAACTGGGATGGGTTTTAACTTTTGTTCAAATTCTTCTTTCATACGTTTCAAGGAATTTGCTGAAGAAGGATGCCGACTGGTTGCGTTTAAGATATTGTTTCCTGTTAAGCACAAAAATAAGGAGCCTGAAGTCAGAAAAGGTCTAAGTTCACATTGGTCATCTTCAATCCTCATGAATTAACTACAATAAGCTTTGTCAAGAACTAAGTCTAGTCTAAATTCATTCAGGAAATATCATAAGAAAAAACATCCAAAAAGTAACTTTTATATGTCCATTTTTCATGTATATTTTTAATAATCCAGATCCCTGAAGAGTCTCTATTAATATTGTATAATGGCAGTTGTAGAAATAAACAGTTTTTTTTACTTTTATTTTTTTTTTTACTAAAGATCACTAAAGATAAGGCTCAGAAGTCACCCATGGTATAGGTTTACTGAATAAGGTGTGTAATATGAAAAGCAAGAGGACATAAAAGGAAGTGAAGATTATGTCAATAAGAAGGACAGATATAAAATTGACCTTTGACCTGAAGTTGTTAAAATTGTTGTGTTCAAGGAAGAATCCATGTAGGAATCTGTTTCACAAAGTATCAATTCTTGGGAACAAAACCATATGAGTAGAATATCTTCCTTAAAATTGGAATGCAAAGGAACCCCCCCCTTGATGTAGTGTGGAAAGTCTTAGCTATAAAAGTGGAATTAAAGATTGGAGGTCATCTGAACATTTCACATGGAAATAATGATAAAGTAGTGGTTGATCAAATGAGAAAAGTTATGGTTGAAGGTTTTATGAGTTTTTTTTTTTATTTTTCAGATTTGATATCTTCTGTAATTTTGAAGTTTCAAAAAAAAAACTTCATAAAATGCACTGTTTTTTAGCCAAAATGTTGAATGTGTTAAAATTATTCAGGTTTTTAACAAGAAAAATCTCTTGGTATTAAAAATTACCACAAAACATTGTTGATTTATTTAAGGTGGAATGATCTATTATGACATGTCTCTAATTTGTATTTAGATACATTGTATTTATTTTCAATTTTTCTGACTTGTTTACCTATATTGCATATGTTCCATTATTGTACATAATTAGGTTAAAATAAAATTTGTATTTTATATGAATACTACCTTGTAAACATTTAGATACAGTAAAGTGGGAGACCTGTGTATCATAGATTTTTAATGTGGAGCACAAGACCCTTGCACTGGTCCTATATTGTGGTAGCAACAAATGCAACTGACAGAATGAGTTCAATGGTTTAAAGAATTCTTGGAAATATATGAAAAGCTCTTAAATCTATAAGAGTTTATATTGTCATATAATGAAGTTGTATCATTCTATAATGAAATTTCTTTATCCTATTGTAATGTGGTATCATTCTATAATGAAATTTCTTTATCCTATTGTAATGTGGTATCATTCTATAATGAAATTGCTTCATCCAATAATGAAGTTGCATTGTCCTATAATTAAACTATTATATCATATCAAGAAAGTGTCATACATTAAGGAAGTTGTTATAATAAAACTGTTTAAAGCCCTACTGAAAAATTTTTTTCACTGAAAAGGAAGATTTTTTTCAATCTAGGAAAAACTTTTGCTTCAAAATTTTTCTTCTTACAAAGATGTTGGCGGTCATGGTTCTTTGGCAATTTCCCCACCTTTTAAAAATAAATTTTACTTATCAAATCTAAAAAAATTTTTTCTGCCATCCATTTAATATAAACTTGTTTTAAGGTTATTTTTTTTTCTCCATTTAAAAAAAAAAAAATAAAAATTTAGTCAAATGAAAAAGCCCTCTTTCCTCATTATGTGCTTAAAAATTTCAAAGAATTTTATACTGTAATAAAATTCTGTCATTTCTATAAATTATTATTTCATTTTTTATAAGGCCCTAGATAATTCACTAATATTTCTGTTTAGATAAATTGCAGAAAAATTTTTACATCCAGCCATGCCAGCACCATATTTTTTTTATACTTAAGCCAATATTCAAAGCATTTTGGATATTGTTTAAAAAAAATTCAAAGGTAAAGTGTTTTTTAGCCCTCTGATAAATTTTATTAAATATGAAATCCATTACACCATGTTCCATTAAATTGAAGGTTGGTGATATATATTTCTGGAAGAAGGTGGTATAATTGGCTGTTAAGGTGGTTGTATATTTTCTACACAATTGTACAATGTTAGGTGAAAACCAGGATTTTGAAAGTTGTTTTTTTTTCAAAAACAGTAATCCCTCCTCTCTCTACTTGAAAGATTGACACAATACAATCTACTTACATTTTTTTAACTTTTTTAAAAACTATTTTTTTGGATTTAGTAATTATCAATTTATAGCTTTGAAAAAATTTTTAAAGTTTTTAACTTTTTCTGATGTGTCATAATTCTTGGTCTATTGATTGAAAACATTCCTTGTCTTTTATCAAAATTTGTGAAAAAAATATTTTGTAAATTCCTTTTTTGATCGTTAAATATCTGAATTAAGAACTTTGACAAAATATTAAAAATAATTAACATAAAATGAATGTTTAAATTTTTAAATTTAAAAGGGTAAAAAAAATTCAAAATGGCAAAAGGCACTTTATAATATTTTTTTTTTTTTTTAAACATTTCACCCCAAGCAAGGCGGGAAGCCACTAGGACGCAAGGGTTACAGAAAATTTAGAGCAAGATCAGATAGGAGTGATAGAAGAAAGGATGAGGGTAGTGGATAGATCAAGGCAACTGGTGATGTCGATTGACATTACATTTGAATAGCTGGAGATTATAGCTCACAGGGAAACAGGAAAAGGGAAGGGAGTTCCAGTTTTGAGAGGTGCGAGACATGATTTTATTAGAGTAGAAGAGACGGCTACATTTAGGAGTTTCGACAGTGAAGGGGTGAGATTGGGACAATTTTATTTTTGGAACTCAATGACGTCTGGGAACCAGTGAATGCAGCTCCTTGGAGCAATTTCCATGAAAGTATTTGTAGAACAGACAGATTATATGAATCACATCTATGAGAAAGTGACTGTAGATGAGACGCCAGGGCAGGGCCAACCACATTGCATATCTGCGTCTGGAACTATCAAGAACCCTGAGGCAAATAGAAGGGAAAACCAGACCATATATGGCAGCAATACTCCATGCAAGGGTGAATTTTGGATTTGTAGATCTGGAGGATTATCCCATAAGAAAAATACTATTTATGCGGCTCAGGAGCCAACTTTCCTTGCAGTGGATGAGGCAATTGACTATATGTATTTATTCCATCTCAGGTCAGCAGTCAACGTGAGACCGAAGAGGCTAAAGACAGTTGCTCTCGAGAATAATTGAGCGTCAGACATTCTAATAATGGGAAGGGAAGGCTCTCTGTGGTGATTAATAGAGATAGTTTTTCTTAGAAGCATTGAAGTTGACCAGCCAATTCATGCCCCAGTTCACAATCAATTGGATGTCCTTTTTCGATTATTGGCCAGGTGAGTTTTGTAGCGAGAATAGATTTGTTTTTGAGGCAGGAATAAATTGTGGTGTCATCCATGTAGATGCTGGTTGGGAATTGTTTGGGAAGTTATTAAATCAGAAAGGTCATTTATTTAGATAAGGAATAGAGTGGGGCCTAGGATGAGATTTGTTAGACCTTTCAAAACATTATTTCATGGGATAGCTCAAAAACTTTGCATTATTAAAAAAGAAGGAGACTGATAGATAATAGGTTTCAATACATCAGACCGGAATACGGAGTTCTTGAAGACAGGAACGATCGAAGAGGACTTCCAGCAAGTCAGGAAAACAAGATTCCTTGAGGCAGTAGTTTATATTTTTTAGAAAGGGCGGGCGCCAGTTCAGGCGCGCATTTCTTCAAGACAATGTCTGGTATCCTGTCACCACCACTATTTTGTTGGGATCTAAATTAGAGATAACATATAGTACCAAAGATGGGGTTATGTTTATGATACTCAATATGGCCTCAGTTCTAAGATGGAAGTCTGGGTATGGGTACACCAGAAGAGTTGAGCATCGAGTTGAATGAAAATTAAAGAAAAGCAAAGCATTCAGCCTTGTCAGTAGAGGAGGTCAGGACTTCAAACTGGTTGAAAAAAGGAGGTATAGAGGGTTTCAAAATTGTTCAATACGCTCTTATTGCAGAGACTAATAATCTTTGGAGCCAAGATATAAGATGCAAAACGTTTCTTCTTTTTTTTCAAGCAAGGCATAAATAGTGACTTAGCATCATTGAGGACATTATTACATTCATTAATGATTATTTTTAAAAGAGACATCTATTGCAATCAGACATGTTACTACGGTTTTACTCCAAAAGAATATTTTCCTATGGACGATTCGGCTGAGCTAAAAAAAGAGGAGAACCAATTTAATAGTAAATTGAACCCTATATTTCCTTGATAGTTAAATATTGATTCCAGCTTTAACCCAAGAAGAGACCTCAGAAGCAAATTCTTGGATAATTTTTTCAAGATTTCCATCCTGGGGACATATTCTTTGGGAAATCACGAAACTTGCGTCCCAGTCAGTTCGTTGATGTTTAGAACAAAGTTTTAGTGGTACTAGGTTCTTTATAGGGGGGGAGTTATTTTTATGAAAAACTGATACTACTGGCATGAATACAGTTACCAAGTGGGCAGATTTTAAGGTTCTGCAGGATTGGGGATGGAGGTAAAGCACAGGTCGAGTAGAGAGTTTTTTTTATTTTATTTGAAGGCAAAACAATGGGGAATTTAACTATCTGTGTGAGGGAATGGGAGATTGAAAAATTAAGCGTTTGAATTTTGCATGGTCAATAGTAGCATTCTTAAGCCACAAGGTGTGATGGGCGTTAAAGTCACCAAACACAAAAAATTTCCAAACAGGTATTCAAAAGCAGCCTTGTCTATGCTGTCAGAAATGCTATCATATATTTCACAGTCTTGAGAGGATGGAATTTTTCTGCAGAAATCATTAAGAAGAAATATTTTACTGCATTGAGGAGAGATTTCGCCGAAGACACATGTATGACTGGTTCCAAAAAAAAAGGAGGATCTAATTGGAAGAGGGAGAT